GTGTGTGTGTGTGTGTGTGTGTGTGTGTGTGTGTGTGTGTGTGGAAGGGAGGGAGGGAGGGAGAGAGAGAGAGAGAGAGAGAGAGAAGTAGGAGGGAGGGAGTTTATCTTGCACTAAAAATGGTAAACAAGTTGGTTCTGCAGGCCAAAGTGAGTCTTAATGGCACTCAAGGTGGCTTTTGGAATGGACCCAAAAGTTGCAGTTCTTTGTTCTGAAGATAAAATTGTATCCATTACTTTAAACGTTAATTTCTTCATATATCTAAGGACTTGGTTTTAATAAGTAAGTTAAGGGTTAATAAATTTGGTATTCAAAACTAAAATTAGTATATGAGAAGTTTATTGAGGATTCTAGTTTAATATCCTGTATTTTGGATATTGACCCCTTATTGGGTATATGGTTTGTAAATATCCTCTTTCATTTAGTAGGTTGCTTTATTGTTTTGTTGATGGTTTCCTTTGCTGCATAAAAGCTTTTTATTTTGGTGTAGTCTCAATAGTGTAATTTCACGTTTGTTTCAATTGTCTGAGGAGACATCTAGAAGAATGTTTCTATGGCCAATGTCAAAGAAATTACTGCCTGTGGTTTCTTCTGGGAGTTTTATGGTTTCAGGTCTGACATTTAGGCCTTTAATCCCTTTTGACTTTATTTTTGTGTGTGGTGTGAGAAAGTGGTCTATTTTCATCTTTTTTTTTTTTTTTTTTTTTTTTTTTTTTTTTTTTTTTTTTTTTTTTTTTTTTGAGGGACCTTCATCCTGTTTTCCATACGGTTTCATCTTTTGCATGTAGCTGTCAAGTTTTCCCAGCACCATTTATTGAAGTATAGGGCACTGTTTTAAATAATGTGTATTGGTTCATATTCTTTTCTTATAAATTAAAAGCATTCTCTCTATATTTCTTTATGATTCTTTTTCACTGAATTGCTTTCCCATGGAAAAGTTGCTGTAGGGTAGAGTGTACATGGCATCTTTGCCTTTGGGATAGTGCTTCACACAGCCTTTTTTCTTCCTCAGCACTGTGCACAATTGTATCACATCTGTATCAGGAACAGCTCTCTTTATATAATGTGATTTTAATCCTTGAAACTTAGGGCACTGCCTTAGAAGCTAACATTCACTTCAAGGAACATTGTGCCATCAATAAAATGTAATCTTTTTGTATTGCCACTTATCAAAAAATGTGGACTGGCTCATTCAAGAGTGTTTTTAACATGCGTGTTACAATAGTGTCCCGTTTCAAAATATTCACATTATTCAGGCTTGCACATTGAATCATGCACATTTAATAAATTCATATAAGTAAACCTGAATTGATTGCACATTTGTAAACTGATGTTATTTTCATAGACAGATCTCTTCATTTTTCTTTTTATTTTTCCAGCCATTGCATTAGTAAATGTTAGATTCTGTTAAGAGATATTTTTCTCCATTGTTTTTGTACTTTTCAACTTTGAACTACTATTCCTAAGATGTTTTCTCTTTGTAAATGTTTTTGGTCATCCTTTTTTGTTGTTGTTGTTTTTAAGGTCAGTCTTTTTATTGTTGTGTACCTATAATGGTTTTGAAAGCAGCAGGTATAAGAACTATGTTAGTCTTTTTGGTTTTACACATTTTTATTTTTATTTTTTTAAATTTTTAATGTTTATTTTTGGAGAGAGACAAAGCGTGAGCAGGGGAAGGGGCAGAGAGAGAGGGAGACACAGAATCTGAAGCAAGTTCCAGGCTCTGAGCTGTCAGCACAGAGCCCAATGCAGGGCTTGAACCTACAAGTTGTGGGATCATGACGTAAGCCGAAGTAGGATGCTTAACCGACTGAGCCCACCCAGGCGCCCCTGGTTTTACACATTTTTAAATTTGATTTCATTATATGCAAGTAATCTTGCTGGGTCTTATTTTAGTCTGTCATTAAGAAGCAAGTTATGGCTCAGTTTTAAAAAGGTATTTACCTATTAAAGACGTTCAGGTATACTCAGTGTAATCCATCTAGTAACTACTGTTCTTTGTCAGTGTTGGAGTAGACTGTTAACATACAGAGAGAGTATAGAGTGATGGTTGGGAACATTATGAAGCCAGGCTACATGGATTCAGAGCCAGGCTTAACCCAGCTTAGCTGTGTGACAAGTCACTTAACCTCCCCAGGTCTTAGTTTCCTCACTTTTAAAATGGGAACAGTAGCAGTAGGTAATAGGGCTGTAGTAAGAATTAAATAAGTTAATATTTTATTAAAACAATTTGTTTTGGGCGCATGGGTGGCTCAGTCGGTTGAGCGGCCGACTTCGGCTCAGGTAATGATCTCGCAGTCCGTGAGTTCGAGCCCCGCGTCGGGCTCTGTGCTGACAGCTCAGAGCCTGGAGCCTGTTTCGGATTCTGTGTCTCCCTCTCTCTGACCCTCCCCCGTTCATGCTCTGTCTCTCTCTGTCTCAAAAATAAATAAATGTTGGGGCGCCTGGGTGGCGCAGTCGGTTAAGCGTCCGACTTCAGCCAGGTCACGATCTCGTGGTCCGTGAGTTCGAGCCCCGCGTCAGGCTCTGGGCTGATGGCTCAGAGCCTGGAGCCTGTTTCCGATTCTGTGTCTCCCTCTCTCTCTGCCCCTCCCCCGTTCATGCTCTGTCTCTCTCTGTCCCAAAAATAAATAAATGTTGAAAAAAAAAATTAAAAAAATAAAAATAAATAAATAAATAAATGTTAAAACAAACAAACAAACAAACAAAAACAATTTGTTTTGAAAGAGTGCAAGCAGGGTGAGTGGGGGTGGGGTGGGGAGAGAGAATCTTAAGCAGGCTCCATGCTCAGTGCAGAGCCCAGCACAGGACCCAGTCCCAATGACCCTGGGATCATGACCTCAGTGGAAATCAACAGTTGTACGCTTTAGCCGACTGACCCACCCAGGCACCCCTTTTTAAGTTTCTCTTTGTGTTCTAGTTAACATAAAGTGTAATATTAGTTTCAGGTGTTCAACATAGTGATCCAACATTTCCACACAACACCCGGTGCTCGTCACAGTAGGTGCACTCCTTAATCCCTATCACCCGTTTCATCCTTGTCCCCTCCACCTCCCTCTGGTGACCGTCAGAGTGTTCTCTCTAAAGAGTCTGTTTCTTGGTTTGCCTCTCTCTCTTTTTTGCCCCTTTGTTTGGTTTTAAATTTCATGTATGAAAAAAAAAATTACACAGGAGTGAAAGCAGATGGTCTTTGTCTTTCTCTGACTTATTTTGCTCAGCATTCTATTCTCTAGTTTGATCCACATCTTTGCGAATGGCAAGATTTCATTCTTTTTTATAGCTGAGTAATATTCCATTGTATGTATGTATGTGTGTACATGTGTATATACACATACATACTACATCTTTATTCATTTATCAATCGATGGACACTTGGGCTGTTACCATAATTTGGCTATTGTAGATAATGCTGTTGTACACATAGGGATGCCTGTATCCTTTGAATTAGTATTTTTGTATCCTTTGGGTAAATACCCAGTAGTGGGATTGCTGGGTTGTAGGGTAATTCTGTTTTTAACCAAGGATCCTCCATACCGTTTTCCAGAATGGCTACATAGTTTGCATTCCCACCAAGAGTGCAAGAGGGTTCCCCTTTTCCCACATCCTAGCTAACACCTATTGTTTCCTGTGTTGTTGGTTTTAGCCTTCTGATAGGCATGAGGTAATA